TTAGTAAGTCTAATTAGAAAAAGGGATTTCAACTTTTTTATTCCTAAAAATAGAAAATAAAATAAACTGCCAACTTTTAATTTGAGCTTTACAACTTTTTTAAAAAGCGCTTCGCGTAACGAATTTAAAAATTATTATAAATGATTTAAACTCATTCATTCCTAACAAAATTGAAACAAACAAACAAAAAAAATGTTTACATAAAATAAAATGTTTATTTAAAACATTGTAAAAAATGTAATTTTTACGATTAATTTTTTTAAACTTATGATTAATCAAATTAATCATAAGTTTAAAAAAATTAATCGCATGAACATTACAAAATGCTTTAAAACTTTTTTATTAATCAACAAAATACATGCTTATATAAGTAAATAAAGTTATTTTATATTCTTGAGTAATTCGCATAAAATGTGTAAAAGCTAGTAGTCACAAAAGCTTTTGAACTTATTCACGAATTAAAGTAACTTAAAAAAATTCTTTCTAAAAATAATGTTTAAAAATCTTTTAGGAAGACATGTAAAAATAGTTTGAAACATAAATTTAAATTTATCATAAAAAATACATGCCTGCATAAAAAAAACTTATATTTAACGTTTTTTATTAATTTACACAAGCGTTTATGTAAACTATAGCTATAATTACTTTTATGGTTTTATTTAAAGCCTTTCGTAAAATAAAAAACTTTAGAAAAGATCAACGTTTAAAAGATATTTGTAACGTAACACTTTTTTTATTGCATTCAAATTGTTAAAACATCAAAATACCAGTGGTCAAGTTGTAAAAAAATAAAAATTCTAGCGTGGTCAGTTACAGAGTGCGATCGCACGCCATTCCTGTCCAAGCCTGATATATATATAAATATATATATATATATATGTATATGTATATAAACACGTTATTAAAATGTGCAATTACGTGCGTTTTGGCATCAAGTCTTCGAGAGCGATATTCAGGGTTGGAAAATGGCTCCCATAGTCATCTATAAATTATGTACGCAGGTACATAGTTTATAGATGACCCTATGGGGAGGGAGTCACCCAAAAGCATACCAGTGCGTACAGGGGAAAGGGTGAAAAGTTTTTTGTTTGAATTTTTTTGTGTGAAATCAGGGAAATCAGTGAAAGAGGCTTTGGTCTTTTTATTAATGCATTAGTCTATCTACCGGAAGAAATATGTTACTGCTGATTTGATATTGAATAAAAACAATGAAACATTGCTTAGTTTTTTAAATATTTCAAATCAAGTTTTCATATTTGAATTATTATTAAAAAAGAATTAAATTTAATAAATATATTATTTAATCTTAAGAATTAAATTAAAAGAAAAAATTATTTATAGGTTTTTATTTAACTTATTACGTTATATATATAACTTATTGTAAGTCATTACTAAAATTTTAGTAAGTCTGTCATTATAAATGTTCAATGCATGATTTTTAAAATTAAGTTTTCTCATCCTTTTTTCCAAATTTGTAGTTTAAAACTTTTGATTGTTTAAAATTCTATCAAGTTTGATTTAATAATTTAAATTTTCTACTCTTTTTTGGACTAACACATTTTTATAATAGTAAACATTCCAATCTATCTGTTAGTAGTAATGACTTCATAACTTTCCATTCATTGTTTGTACAAAACAGAAAACTGCTTTCTGAACTGAACATGCGATTTAATTATTGTCAAATGAATTATTTTTTATATACTTGATTATATCCTTGATAAATATATAATAGACTTATACTAATGTATTATATATTAGTGTATGAATATATTTATAATATATATAAAGAACTTGACTCGAATATATTTATAATATATATAAAGAACTTGACTTGAAACATAGATAGTACTCAGTACACTGTTTTATAGCTCAAGCAATTGCCTCATTTCTACTAATAAACCCTAAGCCGTATATAAGCCGTATATAAACCCTAAGCCGTATATATATATATATATATATATATATATATATATATATATATATATATATATATATATATATATATATATATAATATATATATATATATATATATATATATATATATATATATATATTATATATATACACCCCTCAAAATTAGGGTCGGCATTCGGCAATGCTGACCTAACTGTTAACCTGAAAGTGTTTGAGGTTGGCAAAAAATTGCTCACCTTGTTTCTATATTTTATGGTCAGACCTTTGTATCAAATAATTTTTGCCAACCTGACGCCGACCTCCAAAAGGTTGAGGTTGGCAAATTATTGCTGAATTTTAAATTTTAAGTCATTAATAAAAAGAATGTAATGTACGAAATGTACGAAAAAAAAAAGCTATTAATGAAGTTTTAGTTTAATTAATTATAAATAAAATAATATGCTAGATATTTTAGTTTTAAAGTATTCAAAGTATGGAATTGTTATTGAAGTGTTGCAAGTTTTGAAATTTTAATTATGTAGACTTATATGTTATTCAAATTAAGTCCTAGTTAAGCAAATATATATATATATATATATATATATATATATATATATATATATATATATATATATATATATATATATATATATATATATATATATATATATATATATATATATATATATATATATCATGTGGTAGGGTGCGTCCTCAAAAGAAATATTTTAAAATAAGAAACATAAAGTAAACACGAGTTCATAAATTTCATATTTCATATTTGTTGAGTTCAATTTTAGAGTTCATTTATAGAGTAGAGTTCATTTATAGAGTAGAGTTCATATATAGAGTTTATTATAATTAGTATTAGTTTTCTTTGTACATTAATCGCATAGCGAAATAAGGTTACGGTTCCAAATTCTAGACAAAAACAACAACAAATGTTGTTTTTGCTAAGAATTTGGTCAGGTCAGGTTTCTCTTGCTACTGGTAACATGTAACCCAGTACAATCTGCTTCATGTCTTGCTGCCTTGTAGGATACACCTTTTTAGGCAAAGGCTAGGAGATGCAAACTTTGACATAAAACACCCCCTGCCTTGAGGTTCTTGGTTGAGTGAAGGCTAGAGATGGTGTCTCGATAAAAATACTCATCATGGGCAGATGTTACATGCATCTGGCTGCTGTCTTGTAGAAGGCCTCCTAGGCAAAGACTTAAGGGGTAAACAGATTCTATCTGTTGACCAGCCTCGCACCCCTTATTCATCTATTAGGCTGGCGCAGATGTATTTTTAATACATTGTTTCCAGTTTAGGATGTTGAACGCTGGATCTTCTTGACTTGAT